GTGATCCTGAATCGATCAAAACTCTTAAATATTCCATGCTTCCATTTATTGCCTTGACTCGGACTAGAGCTGTGGCCAAAAGAACTGCACGTTCTTCTTGGTGTTTATTCGTTGTTGTTTGATAGTTTGTTATTTTTGTTTAACTATCTTGTTTTGATCCAAATGATTTGTTTACATATTTTTGTGGTTGTTTTTCCGTATGTAAATATGTGTTGTGCTGTTTGTTACATGTTCTGCAACTCCATTTGCTGTAGCAAGTCTCTTCCGAACTGTGACCAAGACAATTGTAGCACAGTTTCTGTGACTTGACAAATTCGTTTCGCTCTGCCACATTCATTGACAAGAATTTTGGACTTACTATGGCATGCGTTTGTTGGCACATGGTGCATGATAGTGTTTTTTTCTTTGTCTTGTAGTTCATGTTGGAAGTGTTATGCGTGTTTTTGTGAAACATCGGTTTTGTGTAATTTTTTGTTGCTTCTAACGATTTGAATCTTCTTTCTAAGAAGCTCATTATCGAAGCTAGTGTTTGAACTTGGGTCGGGTTTTCTAATGATTGTTCGTAGAGATTGTTCGTTTCTTCATCCCATTTTCGACTGATAATTCTTCCAATCAATGGACCCCATGGTTCTGTTGAAATGCCCAAATTGTCAATCGCTTTGAGACATTCATTTGTTACATCATGTAATCTTTGTAATTGTTTTGTGGATTCACCTTGAATTTTTGGAAGATCCAGGATTTGATCCACTAGTTTGCTGACTATTATTCGTGTATTTTCGTATCGTTTTTTGAGAAGTTCCCAGGCTGCTTCATAATTTCCATCGGTAATATGAAGATGTTGGATCAGTCGGCTGGCTTCTTCTCGGACATGCGCTTTTAGATATTGCATTTTTTCAATGCGTGAGATTGTCTTGTTCTCATGAATGACCTTAGTAAATATGTCATGAAATGTTGCCCAGTTTTCGTATCCGCCTTTGAAGTGTGGAAGTTGTATTTTTGGTAATGAGAGGTTTGGTTTACTCTCATTGTTGCTTTCTGCTATTTTTTCTTCTAGTTTCTCCACATATTCATCATAAAGTAGTTCTATTTCTTCAAATTGTTCGTCCTGGAAGTACTGGTCAGTAAATTCGTCTTCGTGAACTATCAGCTCTTCGTGAAGTTCTTGCAGTAAACTCTACTGGCTCGACAGTTTTTTCATCAGATTTTCATATCTGTACTTTGGTTTATCTACCATAAGTTCTGTTCCTAAATTCTCTAAGTTGCGTTTTAGGGAGTTTAGGCGTAGTTTTTGATTACGGAGTCTAATAATTTGTTCGTTGTTTGTTTCACTTTGTACTTCTGTTTTATTTGGCACAAGTCGATAGGTATTTTCTAGTTTCTTCTGCCTTGTTTAGTATTTGTTCATCATACTTAGTAGTAAAGTAGACGTGGGAGGTACACTTCAATTCTTTTAACTTCTTGTTGTTTTCTGCACATTGTTGTACTAATTCGTCGATTTTGGCTGTCCTTTCCGTAATATATTGGGGTGTTTTTCTTATGGACGAGTCCTTTTTTGAATTTGACAATGGCTTGGAGATGGCTTGCCCAATTTCTTCTTGTTTGGCCACTATTTTGTTGGTTTCCTCCATTGTGCTGGGTTTTGATGTTGCTGTTTTTAGTTTGTGGGATGTCTTCTTGTAGAATTTAGGGAAGTTTAAGGGTGGGTGCAGGAAGGAATGGTGTGAATTGGCACTATTAGTCTGTGGGTAAGTGCAGGGAAGAAAGCCCTGGTCTTGCTTACTGCCCACGTCTTAATAGAGCTTGGTCTTGTTTAGCTAACCTCAGTGGGTGAGTACAGGGAAGAAACCCCTGGTCTTGCTTACCGCCCACTGAATTTAAGGGTTTGTTACCCTGGTTGGCTTGTTTTATAATCAGTAAGTGAGTGCAGGGAAGAAAACCCTGGTCTTGCTTACCGCTCACTGATTATTTTTGAGTTCGAAGGACCATGTAAACTCTTGTAGAGTTTAGGAAATGTTGAGGGTAGTTAGGTAGATGTGAATGATAGGCTGGTTGTGGTTGAAAGAGAGAAAGTTTTAATAAATTAATTCCTATTTATACATAATTCTAATGTGACGTAGCAACTAGATAATTTAAACAATGTGCAAATATGCAGTTGTAACGGCGATGACCGATTAATTGGTACTGATTTTGTAGGTTCAGAACCTTTGGGTCGGTCACCGCTTCGAAATATTAAATTATTTAAATATAAAAAATTAAAATAATAAAAATTAAAAAATATTACATATAAAATTTTGGAAAGTATAAGATTGTTTAATTGACGATTAAACAACTGTTATGCACTTGCATAGTTTAGAGAAAAACCTTAAGGTTATAAATTTAAATTATGACACTATGACATCAAATGCATTTCTGTGAAATCACCTGGACTTCACCTGGAGCTCATTAGTTGAATCATTGCTGAGCTCATCCTGAGTTCTTGATGAGATCATTTGTGAATTTAATTTCACAAATGATCTCATCAAGAACTAGTTAAAATATATTTTTATAATTAATTAATGAATTATACTTAGCACGTGCTAGGTATACATGTATATATATATATATATATATATATATATATATATATAAATTTCGTTAATATTTTTTTACTTTTAACTGCAAAAAAAGCTTGTTTAAAAAAAAATGCTTACATTTATTTTATACTTTATGGCATTAGAATTTGTTAAATATTAAATTTACAAATTTCAAGGATATGTCAAAAAAGGGGTTAGACAGCAACTGTCATTTAAGTTTTCTTCGTAATCTGTCATCTGTCACCTGTCAACTTGACACCTGATCTAAATCTAAAAGGTTACGGGACAATTCCGACTATTTCATAGCAGTGTTGTCAGATTTCGGGTGCCACTTTGTGCTTTAATTATCGTGGTGCCACTTTGTCAACATTTGAATATTTTTAATTTGCGTATAAAACACAAGCGCCCTCTGGTGTCAAACCATTTCAACTAATGTAATAAAGAGTGATTCATTTAGACCTTTTTTTTAATTCTAAATAAAAGCATAAAATGGAATTGGATGGCGGAATCTTTATTATGACCTGAAAAAACGATCTTTGACATTTTTTTTTTAATAATTTCATTTAAATGCTGGCCGCGTACAGCGTGATCCATTCGGAAGGTCCAATTTTCGATCACTCTTTCTAGCATTGCGACCAGTATCTGCCCAATTACCCGAGTAATGATTTCTCAATAAAGCTGTGGTTTCGCACGCTGTGTGTGCCGTAGCTCCGTCTTGTTAAATCAAAAGTCTTCGTCGATAATCCAGCTACGATTCAGGACTAAGAAGCCAACATTACTCGGGTAATTGGGCAGATACCGGTCGCAATGCTAGAAAGTGTGATCGAAATTTGGACCTTCCGAATGGACCACGTTCGCGGCCAGCATTTAAATGAAATTATTTTCAAAAATAAATGTCAAATATTGTTCTTTCAGGTCATAATAAAGATTCCGCCATCCAATTCCAGTTTATGCATTTTATTTAGAATTTAAAAAAAAAGGTCTAAATGAATCACCCGTTATAACCTTATATAAAAACTGTAAAAGTGGCACCCAACAAATATTTGGCTAAAAGGTTGCTGATAGTGCCCTCTACTGAGGGAATTTTTTTTAAGGCAAAAAACAAAGTGGCACCCGACGCCGGGTGTCACTTTATAAAATTTGGTGCCACTTTTACAAGAATTATGCGATTTGGGTGCCACAATGACAAAAAATATATCTTAACAAGCAATAAGACATTGGTTAGGGCTTTTTTGTTTATCACGAAAGTTGAGTTATCCAGCTTTAGCATTAAGGGGCACGGGCGATATAATCAGATCATTTTTTATTACAGAAGCTGCTTTAGATCTAAACCTGTACCAGAAAGGCCAAGGGGCAAAACGTGTTTTCTCGAATGATAAAAGAAATATTAAGGGGAGCAAAACAAACTTACAGAAAGTTATCGCTCAATAAAAATAACGAAATTTTAAATGATAGCAATTAATTGAGCAATGCGCTTACTGTACCAAAAATTAACTTGCATCTGATTATTAGCATATCGAGATTATTTTATTTATTTATTTTTAATTTATACATTTTTAATTTATTAAAAATTAATAATCAGATGCAAGTTACTTTTTTAAATTTTATTAAAAACATGTTTCAAATATTTTATATTTTATTTAAGAAAATAAATATTTATTTTAATTAGTTTTAGCATTTTTAGTCCCTTAAGTAAAATCATTATAGACATCCCTTTGATTTCATAATGCATTCATCGTGTGACTCATTAAGGATCTCACGTTGCTCATCAAAAGGGGAACACATATGCGTACCTCAGTGTTATTACTGAATGAATCAGCAATGATTTCACGTTGATGTCTTAAATGATGTCATAATTGTTATCTGGGTTATATTTAGATCTAATAACATTTAATACTTATTTGTTTGAAACATTTCATTAAATACATAAAAGAAGAAGAGATTAATAGCTAAGATCCACAGATTATAAAGGTTAGAGAACTAGTACCATAGAAAAAGGTATGAGTATGCCTGCGAAAACGTGCAGGCAACCTAGACCAGACAGGCGTATTTGTTTTGAATGAAGTACTCGTCTTAATAAATAATAAAACTCAAATGTTGACAACACAGTGCATCTATCATGTATTAGCAGTTGTTGCCTATATTAGCCAAAAAATCACCAAACACTTTTGAAATATAGCCAACTTTTATAGCCTTACGCCAAACTGATATTTTTTTAGCCATTGGCTTTAAAAAGTAGCCACTTTGGCTAAAATTAGCCATACCTGGCAGATTTTACACGTGATATTTACGTTTTTTAATCACGTCTTTTGGGCGAAATTTGACGAAACCTCAACTTGTTTTAATCGTGACTCTGTTTGCTGGGAATACATCAACTAATAAAGGAGTTATTTCAACAAATATTTCAATTTTTTCTGTTATATGTAGCTACAGATCAGACTTTGAAAGCGTGTCAGAGTTGCGACATAAAGAGTCCTTCCCCTCCAAAACGCAAGGCACCGGAGCAGGAAGCAGCGACGTCAACAACGCCTGCAGAACTGCCTTCGTCGTGCGAATCGCCGATGACGACGCTTACCAAAACTCCGACGATTGAGTGGGAGATCGAGGACGTAATACAGTTTATCGAGTGCATGGATCCGTGTCTTGGAGTGCACGCGGATCTTTTTAGAAAACACGTAAGTATTATAACTACTTTTTTATTTCATTTCAGTCCAAGCAACAACTAGTGATGTATTTATACACATCTTATACAAATTTAGATTTTCCAACACATGAGACATGGATTCCTAGGGAGGAATTCTTTTTTATAATTTACATCCATCATATGAAAAAACTATTAAATTAATTAAATAAATTATTATTATATACTATTCTGGGACATAACCTGTTTTATGTATTTAATATATTACTAAATTATAGTAATTTTGTTTATGTTAAAACCTACAATGGTAGAAAAATATGGTTTTGCAAAAGGTGCTTTTTTGACTTGTTAGGAAAATAAACATTTTTTACTTTATTTTAGGAGATTGATGGTAAGGCATTTCTTCTCTTAAATTCTGACATGATGATGAAATACATGGGGCTAAAATTGGGCCCAGCTCTAAAAATATGTAATCTGGTATCGAAATTAAAAGGAAGAAGACACAATTCTCTTTAAATTCATATGTAAAAAACTTCACATCTGAACTCACTTTCTGGTTTTTTGTTTTTGAATGGGTATGAACGCGAATTATTTTCCGTTTTTTCTAAAATATTTGTGATAAATAAAGATATGCAGTATATTATAAATGTAATAACATTAAACTTACTAAAATAAGTAATAATATTTAAGTGTACAAAAAGTATTCCTAACAACACCAATGAATGAAATAAAATAAATGTCACTGATTTTTTATGGATTTACAATGTAAATTTTACATCTGAGCTGGATAGTTTAAAAATGTATACTTCAAGTCACCAACATACATTATCATTGCCGTTTTATAATAATATAAAAAACTATTTATGGTTTATGCTGACGACATTTACATTGAGATGAAAACCCTAATTTTTAAGGAATTAAATTGATATTTCAAATATCAAACTCCAATATTTTTTATTAACAAAATCATTTATTATAATTTTCGTGAAAATACTCGATCATTTAAATGTTTTCCAGGAAACTGTTACTCAAAATGAGTTTGCTGGGTTTTGTATTAGACCCCTGATTTTTAAATTTAAGTTAGTTACATGAAGTAACAAATCAGTGATTATTTTTAAAATAGAAGATAAGCTTATTCTTCATAAAAACTCCTGCTTATTTAAAAAATTTACAGGGTGTTTAGAAATTAGGAAAACATGAAAATTCTTCAGGGCAGTAGTAACTTTATTTATTATTTTATCAAAAAATTTTATAAGAGAAAGTTGCTGGCAATTTAAATAAATTCTCAATACAATTTTTTAAATTTAAAATGTGCTTTAATTTTTAAAAAGGACATTGGTTTTTGCACAATTAACATGCTTAAAACAGTAAAATAAACAAAAATTAACAGCAAGTTGGTGAAAATTTATTCCCTCCAACCTTAACGCATCTTTCCATTCTTCGAATGAAAGCATTACAGACAATTTCTGGAACATTCACCTTGTTAACAATTGACAACTTCTTGAATTCGTTCCTTTATTGAGGGAAATTATTTGCATACACTTTTTGTTGTAAACCACCCAACAAAAAAGTCTATCGATGTCAGGTCAGGTGACCTTGCAAGAAAGAACTGGTCCGAATCTTCCCTTCACCTTTCCTAAATTTTAGAAAAAAAATGTATTTCGTATTTAGACTTTTTATTGCTTTCTCTTATAAAATGTTTCATAAAAATACAATACACTTTTTTAAATATAAAATAAAAAAAATATTTCGGATATGGACTTAAATTATCATCAATTTTTCTCTTATAAAATTTTTCAATAGAAAGTACCTTTCTCTCCTAAAGAATTTCCTTGTAAAGGTCATTTTTGAATTTTGTTCTTGCTGCCCAAGCATGCGCCTTTTAAATAGTTTAAAAAACATTCCTGAGGTTTCAACTCTTAATATTAATATTAAATAATATATATTATATATATATATATATATATATATATATATATATATATATATATATATATATATATATATATATATATATATATATATATATACAGGGTGTCCCAGAACTCGCGCCACAGAGAAAAAGGGGCCGATAGCAATGGAGAACCAAATTTAAAAATAAAAAATTTCTAGGTAATAGTGTAATCGAATGAGATCAAAAAAGCGGCAGCCAATACCGAGAGCTCTCGCCTAGGTTAAACGTAAGAGCTTTAAAAATTGCTAGGAGACGATAGAACATTGTTGAATTAAAAACATTTAAAAATCTTTTGGCCAACTGTATTTACTAAGTTGTCAAAAGCTTTCAAAAATGAGGTTATTAATCTATGACTTATACTTCAGAACGCCAATGTTTTAAAATATCGATTAGGAAAGGGCTGGGAAAAAACTCGCGTTGTCTCCCTGGCGTTGCGCCCACACTAAATAAATAAATAATTATCATTTCAGTATAATCATCTAAGGAAAACATTATTTATAATAACTTAATTTATAGCCTAATATAATATTAATAACAGGAGTTTGACAGCAGTGTCACAATGAATTGGATTCCAGTGGACCAAATATTTTACATATTTTTTATTATCAACAATGCAACCTAAGTATCCTATCAATTTAAAGAATTCCCTATGGCCATCTATTGGGATTGGCTATCGTTTTTTATTCTTATCTCGCTTATCCTTTGCGTTAGACAATTTTAATTTTCAAATACCTATGTGTTTCACGTTACTTTCGGCACGTTCCGGTTTTCTATGTGGCGCGAGTTCTGGGACACCCTGTATATATAAAATTGAGCCTGCGGAAAAAAATTGGGAAATTTTCAGGTTGTCCGGAATTAGTTCGGGATTAGCTTCGCGAAAATAGCTAATAATTTATTCCTATTATTCAATAAGAAAATTCTACCAGATTGCAAAAAAACAAATTTCGTGTAATATTAACTTAACTATTTTTATTTGACATCTATTTATAAAATTATAACTTGGTAATAATTTATTAATCATTGATTATTTTGTGAATGGATATTTTTAATGGACCATTTTCAAAAAGGATACAACCGACAGTATATTTAACGTTTACGTTTATTTTCTTAAATTAATTAAATGTTTACTTTTATTTGTTTTTTCTGTAATAAAGGATATTTTTTTAAAATTAAAGTATTGTTAAATTGTTGATTGCTGTGTATATTTAAATAAAAGTTTTTTTTCTAAAAAAGACAATATTTCCAAGGGCTGTTTTTTTACAAATGTAGTTACTTACATAATAAATTGGAAAACATTTTAGAAAGACTTTACATTAAAAACTGTTTTTTGTCACCTTTGACCTTCGATATTTGATAACGCCGGGCCGATTTCGCTTGGGACATTATTACTAGTGCCAGTATAAAAAATATTAGATTAAAAACATTACCTGTGATTTTTGTCCAAGTAAAACTCTTATTTGAAGGCTTCATAGCAGAAAATTGAAAAATGATGTCTAGATAAGAAAATAACTGTTTAAAAATGTTTCCAATGCACCCTTTTGTACATTTTTTATCAATTATACTCAAATTTGATTTTAAAAAATACATTCTTATTAAAAACAAATTTCTTGTGGGGGGTCGGGTTAATATTAAAATTAAGAGTTGAAACTTGTCATGGCAATTCAAACAGTTTTGAGTTATTGTGGTTTTTAAATACTAAAACATCCCTAGAATAGATGTAAAAGGCTATCATAGTTTAAAGTATATTTTTAAGAAATTAAGTACACATATATATTTCACTGTGTTGTTAAAAGTATGGATGACCAAAGTAATTTTAGTTAGTTGAAATTAGGTTCTCTATTTTACATTTTCTAATCTGTTTAAAAAGCATTAACACCGTATTTAAAGTTATGTTCATTATAAATAAGCTACAAAAAACATTTTTATTTACAATTCCTTTACCCCTTGCAAACTTAACTTTGATTAGGTATCTTCAAGGTTTTTTGAGTTATGGAGGTCGTGAGGGTGTGTGATATATATTTATATAAATATATATATATATATATATACAGTGTGGAACTCACTTATGGAATAACATTCGTTATTCGTTGAGAAAAGATTTTTATGAAAAACGCTCGGACACGTAAACTTTAGTTTTTTATTCCAAATATTGTTATGATAATTTTAAATTATATGCCCCCACCATTTCCCCCCCGCACATTAGGCACCCTTATCTTAAATAACAACCCCACTTTTTTTCATCGAAAATTGATAGTGCACATTTTTTTTTAGTAAACAGTTTTCAATACAGGGTGGAAATACAATGACAAATTAATAAACTAAACTTTTTATTTTAAAATTAATTAAAAATTCAAAAATAAACTGTTCTTTAATCTTATAAATGTTCAAAATGTCCCCCGTCCACTTCCTGACACTTTAGTAATCTACTGTGAAATTGTTCCCGCACTCTGTTTAAAACCTCCGGTGTTATGTTCCTAATTTCTCCAGTAATTCTGTTTCTTAATTCATGTAAATTAGCAGGTTGTGTTTTAAACGCCCTGTTTTTTAGATATCCCCATAGAAAAAAGTCTAGAGGTGTTAGATCCGGTGATCTTGCTGGCCATTCTATAAAACCTCCTCTTCCGATCCACCTGTGTGGAAAAGTGTCATTTAAATAATTCCGTACAGGAAGAGCATAGTGGGGTGGGGCACCGTCTTGTTGAAGCCATATCCTATCATTGGGAAGATTAGGTTCCAATGGATTTGGAAACAACTCTGATAAAGTTGGGACAACTTGTTCTCTTAGCATATCCAGATATCTTGCCCCGTTAAGATTTTCAATGAAAATAGGTCCCACCACATGATCACCAACAATACCAGCCCAAACGTTGATTTTCTGAGGACGTTGGGTATGACTTTGTCGCATCCTGTGGGGATTTTCTTCTGCCCAGGACCTGCAATTTTGTCTATTTACCTGATTCATCAGAAAAAAGAATATCTGCAGAAGAAATAACATTCCTGTTTAACATATGCAGCATTTGCTCACAAAATTGTAATCTTCTATCAGAATCACCATCAATCAATTCTTGTACGTGTAGTAGTTTATATGGATGCATTTTTTACAAACCTTAAAACGGTCGAATGACTAAAGTCGTTTTCACGTGCAACCTGATGCGTAGAAGTTGTTGGATCTTCTTGAAAAGCTAATAAAATATTAACTTTCACATTTTCATCAATAAAATGAGGCGTCCTTTTAATGGTTTAACGTGTCCATATTCACGAAATTGTGCATGTATTTTAGACACAGTTGCCTGAGAAAGTAGTGGTAAATCTGGGTATTTTCCATTAAAAAGGTTTGCAACTTGCTGTTGTGATCTGCACATATCACCGTAACCAATCATCATTAATATTTCTATTCGCAGAGTTTCTGTCAAGTGTCGCATTTTTTAACTAAAATATTAACTGATACTTGGATTTAACAAAACACTTCAATAAGTAAAGCGCAAAATGTTTCATTAATAATAAAAATTTAAACAATGCAAAAAATGTAAACAATGCAAAAAGGACAAACGCAAAAAATGGCATTAACAAAAAACAATAACAAAGCGAAAAAACATGAATATCTAAATAGCGAAAGCCACAACACAAACTAAAGAAACTAAATCATAGAATAACAATAAAAAATTCACCCTGTATTGAAAATTATGGTTACTAAACCCTACTTATGTGGTATCGTCGTACTCAAAAAAATGTGCACTATCAATTTTCGATGAAAAAAAGTGGGGTTGTTATTTAAGATAAGGGTGCCTAATGTGCGGGAGGGAAAATGGTGGGGGCATAAAATTTAAAATTATCATTATAAGATTTGGAATAAAAAACTAAAGATTACGTGTCTGAGCGTTTTTCATAAAAATCTTTTCTCAACGAATAACGAATTTTATTCCATAAGTGAGTTCCACACTGTATATGAGTCATTCCACGTCAAACCGGA